TCCCCATGTCCCCAGCCTCCGAGGAAGCTGTGTTTCTCTGAAACTTTCTTGAGAGCTGAAGCAGTCCTTATGACAGAAAAAAACATCTGTTCTCTTCTAGAGTAATAAAGACTTCGGCTGGGCCCCTGGCCACCCAACAAAACTGTGGCCGGGTGCAACAGGTGGCTTACGCCTGTAATCCCAGCATTTTGGGAGGCCGAGGCAGGCGGATCACAAGGTCAAGAGATTGAGACCATCCTGGCCACATGGTGAAACTGCAGCTCTACTAAAAATACAAAAAAAAAAAAAAATTAGCTGGGCATGGTGGTGCGTGCCTGTAGTCCCAGCTACTCGGGAGGCTGGGGCAGGAGAATCACTTGAACTTGGGAGGCGGAGGTTGCAGTGAGCTGAGATCGAGCCACTGCACTCCAGCCTGGTGACAGAGCGAGACTCTGTCTCAAAAAAACCAGCCAACCAACCAAACAAACAAACAAAAAACCCCCACATTTCCTAGCCTCCCTTGTGACGAACAGCACCCAGGCTCTGGTCAGCAGCACGTGAATGGCAATGATGTGTGCCTTGCCCTTTAAAGGAAGAGGGTCCCCCTTCCTGGTCTCCCCTTCCTGAGGGCTGGAATGCAGACACAGTGGCAGGAACCAGAGCAAACATCATGCACCACGAGGTGGAAGCTGTGTGTTGAGGACGGCAGAGCTGCAAGCCCAGGGGAGTCTGGGTACTGACACGGGGCTGCGGATGTCGGGCCTATCTTGTTCAGATCGCTGCTGTTTTGGGTTTTGCTATAGCAGCTGAACCGGTATCATAACCCATGGTCATCACGAGGCAACAAACTTGATTCCAGTTTTGCCTTCAAGTGACAAAGACTGGTGTCATCCATGAATCCAGCCCCCTACTTGGCTGGAGAGTGGAGGCAAGTTGAAACAGAGGTGCAGAACACCAGCGAGCCCCTCGTGTTCCCAGGGGATTTAGAGAGCCGCGGAGGAGCCAAGGAAAGGAAGAGAGCTGTGTGCCAGGGGCATCCACACTAAGCCAGCCTGGCACTGGCCAGGACACTCAGCTGTGCTCATTTCTACAGGGCCGTGGCGGGAGTGGGCACAGTGCTTTTATTTAGCATGAGAGAGAGAGAAGCTCTGATTTTCACGTGAAGAGGAAACGGGCTCAAACTGCCAGCCTGACAATGGGCAGATGCCAGCACCTCACTGAGCAGCCCTGGGTCGAGGAGGTAGCCGGTTCTTCTCATGCCTCAGTTTCTCCATCATGTGCATGGGAGTTTATACATATGATTATTTGGACATCTAATTAACTTATCTCTTTTTTTTAGAGATGGGATCTTTCTTGTTGGGGCCAGAGTACAGTGGTACAAATGCAGCTCACGGCATCCTCGACCTCCTAGGCTCAAGAGATCCTCCTGCCTCACCCTCCTGAGTAGCTGGGACCATAGATGTGCACCACCACACCCAGCTATTTTTTGGGGGGAGGGGGTAGAGAAGGGGGTCTCACTGTGTTGCCTAAACTGGTCCCAAACTCCTGGGCTCAAGCAATCCTTCTGCCTCAGCCTCCCAAGGTGCTGGAATTATAGGCATAAGCCACCGCATCCGGCCGTTTGCACATCTCAATACAATTAAACTCCACCTAGGTACAAGCAGCCCAAGAAGACCGTGCTGTAGGATTTTGCCACCATGGCCAGGCTCTCTCCTGTCTATAAACGAAAGGCTTCTCCTTGGAGAGGAGTACGGAGATCATCAAGCTAGTTGCCCACTTACTGTATGCGCAGACAGACACCTCCGCAGCAGCTCTCCCCGAGGCGAAGAGCTCAGAATGATTGGTCCCTTACCTTCTCACGCATCATGGATAATCTGCTTATGTAGTAGGTGTATTCTTTAAGTCAGTTTCCTGTCACTGCTCTAACAGATTGCCACAAACTTGGTGGCTCAAAATGGCACAAATTTATTATCGGATGACTCTGGGAGTATTAAGTCTGAAATGAGTCTCCCTGGGCTGAAATCAAGGTGTTGGCAGGATTGCATTCCTTCTGGAAGCTCTAGGGGAGAATTCCCATCCTTGCCTTTTCCGCCTCCAGAGGCCGTCCACATTCCTTGGCTCACGGCTGCTTCCACCGAAGGCTGCTTCCTTCACCACGTTGCCTCCTGTAACTCTGACGCTCCTCCCCCACCTGTACAAGGACCCTTGCGATGACCTTGGACCCGCACAGATAATCCACGATCATCCCCCCATCTCAGGATTCCTGACTTCATCACACGTGCAGAATTCCTTTTGGCACATGAGGCAGCACACGCTCACGTTCCAGGGATCAGAACGTGGACGTCTTTGGGGGCCGTTACTCTGTGTACCACGATCAGAGTCCTCCACTTGAAGGAGGACAAAAGTTTTCCTCTGTTTTGCTCACTCATGTGTCCCAAGAACCTACAGCAGGGTTGGCTCAAAAGAATATTTGGTAATTCATGAACACGTGAATCAAAGTGGCCCAAATATCACAAGCAAATCTTTTTTTTTTTTTTTTAAGATGGGGTCTCACTCTGTTAGCCAGGCTGGAGTGCAGTGGTGCGATCTTGGCTCACTGCAACCTCCACCTCCCAAGATCAAGCGATTCTCCTGACTCAAGCTTCCGGCGTAGCTGGGATTACAGGCACCCGCCACCACGCCCCGCTAATTTTTGTATATTTAGTAGAGACGGGGTTTCACATGTTGGCCAGGCTGGTCTTGAACTCCTGAGCTCAGATGATCCACCCGCCTTGGCCTCCCAAAGTGCTGAGATTACAGGCATGAGCCACTGAGACCGGCCTATCACAAGCAAATCTCTTTTTTTTTTCTTTTTTTGAGACGGTTTTGCTGTGTCACCCAGGCTGGAATGCAGTGGTGCGATAGTTCACTGCAATCTCAACCTCCCAGGTTCAAGTGATCCTCTCCCAAGAAGCTGGGACTACAGGTGCACACCACCATGCCCAGCTAATTTTTTTTTTTTTAGTCAAGGTGGGGTGTTGCTATGTTGTCCAGGCTGGTCTCGAACTCCTGGGTTCGAGCAATCCTCCCACCTCAACCTGCCAGAGTGCTGGCCTCATAGGGAAATCTTGATAGAACTGTGATGAGAACCAAGAAGCCCTGTTTCCCAGGTCAGTTCCGATCGAGGAAACAGCATTTATCTCTGAACAGAGGAGGATGGTCCTGTGACCATCGAGTTGGTCCGAGGAGAAAGGGCCAGCTGTGGCTGTGAAGGCGAGCAGGTGTGAACTACTGCCTGGCTACCCAAGGCAAAATGCAGCGGTAGGGGCAGGGTCCAGGGTGCCCGTCTCCGGAATGTGAAGGAGTTTGTCTTGTGATTCTGTAAGCAAGCGTGGTCAGACCCAAAGAGCTCTGCCCTAACCAGGTCACAGGGCAGCCGAGCAGGGCGGCTGAGCTCTCTTCATAGTCCTGGTGGCCAAGGCGCTGTTGTGGTGTCTGCTGACCTGTGTAATGTAATTCTGAATCTTTGTTTACATGTCAGGGTTATTTAGGTAAAATTTACATATTCACAAATGCACAATTTACAAATGCACGAATTCCAGGTGTACCTTTTTGTAAGGTTTTATGTTTTTGTTTTTGTTTTGTTTTTTTTTAGACGGCACTTTGCTCTTTTTGCCCAGGCTAGAGTGCAGTGGCGCAATTTCGGCTCACTGCAACCTCTGCCTCCTGGGTTCTAGCGATTCTCCTGCCTCAGCCTCCCAAGTAGCTGGGACTACAGACACGTGCCACCACACCTGGCTGATTTTTTTGTATTTTGAGTAGAGACGAGGTTTCACCATGTTAGCCAGGATGGTCTCGATCTCCTGACCTCATGATCTGCCTCCCTCAGCCTCCCAAAGTGCCGGGATTAGAGGCGTGAGCCATGAGCCAGGGGGCCCAGCCGTGTGTTTTATTAAATGTATACACCTGGGTCGCCCACACACTATCAAAATCAAGAACTTTTTTAACATGCCAAAATGTTCCTTTGTGTTTTCCCAGCCAATCCTGCACCCCCTAGAGGCATCAATTTCCCAATTTTTTTTCACCATAGATTAGTTTTGCCTGTTCCAGACTTTGTATAAATGGACTCACACAATTTGTGTCTTTTTGTGTCTGGCTTTTTTCATTCCACATAATGTCTGTGATTCATCTGTGTTATTGGGTTTATTGACAGTTCGTTACCCCCTCCTTTTTTTTTTTTTTTGATGAATTGTATTCCATAGTATAGATATACCACAATTTGTTTATCTATTCTTCTGTTAATGGACGTTTGCGCAATTTCCAGCCTGGGGGTTTTATAAATAAAGCTGCTACAAACATTTACATGAAAATCTTTTTGCAAACATGTGCACTTATTTCTTTTGGGAAGACATCTAGAAGTGGCATTGCTGGGTCATAGGGTAGACGTATGTTTTACTTCATAAGATAAGAGTGAAACTTTCTCCAGGGTACTTGTAACGTATGTTTTCATCAGCAATTTATGAGAATTCCAGTTTCTTTACATCCTCATCCACATTTGGTGTTATCAGTCTTTTAATTTTTTTTTTTTCTCTTTTTGAGATGGAGTCTCACTCTGTCATGAGACTGGAGTGCAGTGGTGCGATCTTGGCTCACCACAAACTTCATCTCCTGGGTTCAAGCAATTCTCCTGCCTCAGCCTCCCAAGCAGCTGGGATTACAGGCGTGCATCACCACGCCCAACTAATTTTTATATATTTAGTAGAGACAGGCTTTTATCATATTGATAAGGATGATTTCAAAGTCTTGACCTCAGGTGATCCACCCTCCTCAATCTCCCAAAGTGCTAGGATTACACGCATGAGTCACTACACCTGGCTGTTCTTTGCATTTCTATATGAATATTAGAATCAGCTGGACAATTTATGCATTCTCACAATGCCACTGGGGTAATAACAGATCAGTCCAGGGAGAATTGACCTGTTAACTAAGACCCGTTGGGTCTTCTGATTCAGGAGCACACAATTTCTTTCCATTTATCTTAGGACTTCTTTCATTTCTTTCTTTTGTTAAATTTATTACTATTTTATACTCATAAATGAAATTTTAAAAAACATTTTTGCTTGCTGCTAGTGTAGAGATATATAAAGATCAATTATATAGAAACACATCCATATTTTATATCTTAAGTCTTGCTAAATTCATTTATTAAGTTATTGTAGTTGTTTTGTAGATTGCTTAGAGCTTTCTACATAGATAATGATTTAATCTGTAAATAGAGACAGTTTTACTTCTTTCTTTATGGGCTTCATGTTTTTATTTATTTCTCTTTTTTTCTTGTCTTCTTTGTTTGTTTTTTGTTTTTTGCCTTATTGCACCAGTTAGGACTTTCAGCACAATAATATAGAAAGACTGTGATTCTTGCCATTTTCATCATCTTAGGGGAAGGGTTTCCTATTTCACTGTTAAGAATCATATCAGCTGTAGGGTTTTCATACATGCCTTTTTTATGTTTCGTTTTGTTTATTTGTTTTTTTGTTTGAGATGGGTCTCACTCAGTTGCCCAGACTAGAGTACAGTGGAACGATCTCGGCTCACTGCGGCCTCCGCCTCCCGGGTCCAAGCAATTCTCCTATAGCTAGGATTACAGGCGCATGCCACCACGCCCGGCTAATTTTTGTATTTTTGGTAGGGATGGGGTTTCACCATGTTAGACCAGGCTGGTCTCGAACTCCTGACCTCAGGTGATCCACCTGCCTCCGCCTCCCAAAGTGCTGGGATTACAGGCGAGAGCCACCATGCCTGGCCCACATGTCTGTTTTTAGATTGAGAAAGGTCTCTTCTGTTTCTAGTTGGTGAGAGATTATGTGTGTGTGTGTGTGTGTGTGTGTGTGTGTGTGTGTGTGTGTGTGTACATACACATTGAATAAGCATTGAGTTTTATTTAAACATTTTTGTGTTTTGAATGATCATATGGTTTCTCCTTTATTTTGTGAATACTGTGTATTACATTGATTGAATTTTTAATATTAAACCAATATTACATCCCTGAGATAAAACTCAGTTGGTCTTAACGTATTATCCTTATAATGTATTGCTAGATTAAATTTGCGAACATTTTGTTTGGAATGCTTGCATCTATGTTCTTGAGGGACATTGCGCTGTGGTTTTATTGTGATATATTTGTCAGGTTTGGGCAGTAGGGTTATGCTGACCTCACAAAACAAGTGGAAAGTGTTTCCTTGTTTCCTTTTTCTGAAAGACTTTATGATGTATTATTTTTTCTTAAATGTTTAATAGAAGTCACCAGTGAAATCACTGGGTATAGAGTTCTCTAATTTAGGATTTTAAATAATTTTAATATTTTTTTTTTAAGACAGAGTCTTGCTCCGTTGCCCAGGCTGGAGTGCCGTGGTGCAATCTCGGCTCACTGCAACCTCTGCCTACAGGGTTCAAGTGATTCTCCTGCCTCAGCCTCCCGAGTAGCTGGGATTACAGGCATGTGTCACCACACCTGGCTAATTTTTAATTTTTTTGTATTTTTAGTAGAGATGGAGTTTCACCATGTTGGTCAGGCTGGTCTCAAACTCCCAAACTTGTGATCTACCCACCTCGGCCTCCCAAAGTGTTGGGATTACAGGCATGAGCACCGCACCCAGCCTATTTTAATTTTTTTGAGAGACACAGAACGTAGGTTAGAAAAAAATATTTTAAGAAGTCATGGCCAGTAATCTCCTATATTTTCTGAAAGAACTTCTGAATCAAGACTTTCAGCTAACCCCAAGCAGAATAAGTAAGAAGAAAACCACGCCTAGACAGAACTCCTGAGAACTAAAGCTAAGGAGAAAATCTGGAAAGTAGTGAGAGAAACATGACATATTCAGTCCCGAGAAACAGTGATTAGAAATATCACCGACTTTCCATCAGAAACTATGCGGGTGAGAAGAAAGTGGAACATCAAAGTGCTGAAAGAAAAAAAATGCTTTAACCTCTGTTTCCAGACAAGATGGAGTGGATATGCTTCTCACTAGTCCTCACATTAAATGCAGCTGAAAACCAGCTAAAAAAAATGATTCTGAAAGGTAGAAAGAAGGAGGCAAACTGGCTAGGACCTTAAGATTCCAGGGTTTTCTTAGGCCAGGTGTGGTGGCTAACGCCTGTAATCCCAGCACTTTGGGAAGCCATGGCAGGAAGATTACCTGAGGTCAGGAGTTCGAGACCAGCCTGACCAACATGGTGAAACCCCATCTCTACTAAAAATACAAAAAATTAGCCAGGAGTGGTGACACATGTCTGTAACCCCAGCTACTTGGGAGGCTGAGGCAGGAGAATTGCTTGAACCCAGGAGGTGGAGGTTGCAGTGAGCTGAGATCACGCCATTGCCCTCCATCCTGGGCAACAAGAGTGAAACTTCATCTCAAAAAAAAAAATTCTGGAGTTTTCTTTTTCTTTTTTTTTTTTGCCTCATGTATCCCTGGATATAGGGAGGCTAGAGAATCCAGCAGTCCAGAAAAAGCAACAAGTCCAAACCACACACACACACACACACACACACACACACACACACACACACGAAGCTCCCAAGAAAAGCCTCTTCTGTCTAGTCAAAATACCAGGAGGGGCTGCCTAGCAAGGCAGAGCTTTTAGACAATAACCACCCCCAACTAGCCAAACATCATCAGAAAACTGTGGTCCCCTTTCATCTCTGTCAACAAAGGTAGAATGGGGAGCCTAGACGTCTACCCTCTCGAGGCTATAACCAAGTCCACCTTCTCCCTGCCGGGCTTCCATCCCCACCCGGCAGCAAGTCCTGTGATTTTAGCAGAGATCACAAAGAAAGCCGGACTCATCCTCCCACCCCGTGTTAGTGAAGCACCTCGTCCTCTCCTCACTGAAGTGGAATCAAAGGAAGCCTAGTGAAGAGCCAGGACTTTTACCGCTTCTCAGCAGTGACACCCCTCCCCCCTTCCGCAGTATCAGTGGAGACCACAAGGAGAGCATCATGAGAGGTCCCTCCCTACCCCAAGCAGGGCAGTGTCAGTGGAGTAGAAACCTGAAACTTCCGCCCAACCAGCAGTAACAAGGCACCTTTTTCTCACTCAGTGTCCGCAGAGACTGAGTGGGAACGTGGGCTTTCATCCCTGCCTGGCAGTGATGGGGCAGTGCTTTTCTTCCCCCACCAATGTGGTATCAAAGGAGATATGCTAAAACAGAAGATGTCAATAAGATCTCCACAGTCTCAGAACAGCATACCCAAAATGTGCAGAACACAACTGAAAATCATTCATCAGAGGCCAGGCATGGTGGCTCATGCCTGTAATCCCAGCACTTTGGGAGGCTGAGGTGGGTGGATCACTTGAAGTGAGTTCGAGACCAGCCTGGCCAACATGGTGAAATCCCGTCTCTACTAAAAACACAAAAAAATTAGCCAGGCATGGTGGCACGTGCCTGTAATCCCAGCCACCAGGAGGCTGAGGCGCAATAATTACAGGAGGCAGAGGTTGTAGTGAGCGAAGATGGTGCCACCACTGCACTCCAACCTGGGTGACAGAGTGAGACCCTGTCTCAAGAAGAAAGGAAGGAAGGAAGGAAGGGAGGGAGGGAGGGAGGGAAGGAAGGAAGGAAAAAAAGAGAGAGAGATGGAGGGAGGGAGGAAGGAAGGAAGAGAAAATCACTCATTATACCAAGAATAGGGAAATCTCAACTGGAGTGACAAAGAGAATTGACAGATGCCAACACCAAGATGATGCAGTTGTTGAAGTTATTGGACAAAGACTTTAAAGAGCTATTATAAAGATGCTTCAACAAACAATTGCAAATACACTTGACACAAATGCAAGAAAAGTAAGTCTCAGCAAAGAAACAGAGATATAAATGTTTCAATAATAGAAATTTTAGAACTGAAAAATATAATATTTGAAACTTAAAACTCACTATGTGGGGTTAACAGAATGGAATAGAGAAAAGAATCAGTGAACTTAAAGATGGAACAATAGAAATTACCCAATCACACCCAGCTGCAGTGGCTCACACCAGTAATCCCAGCACTTTGGAAAGCCAAGGTGGGTGGATCCACTTGAGCTTTGGAGTTTGAGACGAGCCTGGGCAACATGACAAAACCCTGTCTCTACAAAAATACATGCACAAAAAATAATTAGTTGGGCATGGTGCCATGTGTGCCTGTGGTTCCAGCTACTCTGGAGGCTGAGGTGGGATGATTGCCTAAGGTCAGAAGTTCTAGACTAGCCTGAGCAACATGGCAAAAACCCATTTTCAAAAAAGAAGAAAGAAAAGAAAGAAAGAAAGAGAGAGAGGAAGGAAGGAAGGAAGAAAGGAGAAAAAAGTAAAGGCAGAGAGAAAATAACTTGTGTGCCGATGGATTTCCAGAAGGAAAGGAGAGTGAGAATGTAACTAAAAAAAGATTAGAAGAAATAATGAAGGAAAACTTCTTAAATTTGGCAAAAGATACAACCCTGCAGTTTCAAGAAACTGAGAAAACCAGAAATTAGATAAACCCAAAGAGTATTATAAAAAGATATATCACAAAACTAAAGAAAACAGTCTTAAAAGCATGGAGGAAGAAAGTATACCTTTCAAAGAGGGAGAACCAATTTGAATGACAGCACGTTTCTCATAGAAAGCGGTGGCGGCTGGAAGTAAGTGAGCACAGTTTTCAAATACTGAAATACAGGAACTGTCAACCCAGAATTTTGTATCCAGTGAAAATAGCCTTCAAGAATGAAGGAAAGGTCAAGGCATTCTCAGATGAACTAAAACTAGGAGGATTTGTCGCCAGCAGACCTGCCCTTACAAATGGGCTAAAGGAAGTTTTTGAAACCAAAAGGAAATAATAAAAACAGAAATCTTGGAACATTTGGAAGAACAATAAAAAGAGTAAAAAATATGTGTAAAGTCAATAGACTTTCCTTCTCCTTTTGAGTTTTATAAATTATGTTTAATGATTGAAGCAAAATTATAACAGTGCCTGATGTGGTTCTCAGTAAGTAGAGAATATATTTAAAGCAATTATATCACATGCAAGGAAGGGTAAAGGGACTGAAATGAAGATAAGGTTTCTATACTCAGACTGCTAAAATGTCAGTATTAGTACACTATAATAAATTCTGTGTGGATAAGCCAGGCATAGTGGTTCATGCCTGTAATCCTAGCACTTTGGGAGGCCAAGGTGGGAGGACTGCTTTAGGCCAGAAGTACCAGACCAGCTTGGACAACATAGCAAGACCCTGTCTCTAAAAAAAAAAACGTAAAAAATTAGCTAGATGTGGTGGTGTGCAGCTGTAGTCCCAGCTACTCCGGAGACTGAGGTGAGAGGATCATATAAGCCAAGGAGTTTGAGGGTGCGTGAACTAGGGTCACACCACTGTACTTCAGCCTGGGCAACAGAGCAAGACTCTGAAATAAATACAAACTTACATGTGAATAGTGAATACCTAAAGCAAACACTAACAATATTATACAAAGAGATAAACTCAAAAACACTGTAGCTAAATAGAGATGGAACTCTAACAAATGTTTACATAATCTACAGGAAGACAGGGGGAAAAAAAGAGAAACTGAAAACAGAGGAAACAAACATAAAACAAAAAATAAAATGGCAGACTTAAGGCCTAGCACATCGTAGTTACGTTAAATGCAAATGGCCTAAATACATCAATTAAAATACAGATATTGGCAGAGTGGATTTTTTTAGTGACCAAAATATAACTGTTTGTAAGAAACACACTTCAAATATAACACTATAGGTTGATTGAAAGTAAAAGGATGAAATAAGATATGTCACGCAAAAATTAACCAAAAGAAAACAGAAGTGGCTATATTTATATTAGATAAAGTAGGTTTCAGAGCAAAGAAACATTACCAAAGAAGCATATCACGTACTGATAGAAGGGTCAACACATTAAGAAGACTTAGTACTTTTAATGTATATGTATCAAACAACCACTTCAAATCACATGAATGAAAAACGATGGAATGGAAAAAGCTGATGGATGAAAGGAGAAATAGACAAATCTATAATTACAGCTGAAGACAACACCCCTCTCTTAACCACTGATAGAACAAGTAGACAGATAATCAGCAGAAATATAGATGAACACCACACCAACCAAACTAATCTAGTCAGCATTTACAGAACACTCTATCCAACAACAGAATACACATTCTCTTCAAGTGCTCACAGAACATTTACTAAAATAGGCCATGTCCTGCACTAAAACAAATCTCAACAAATTTAAAAGAATTGAAATCGTGCAGAGTGCATTCTCTGACCGTCGTAGAAACCAAAGCAGATAATAGGAGAGTAACAGGATAATCTCTAAACTGTTGAAAACTAAAGAACATGCTTCTAAATAATCCATAGTCAAAGAAGTCTCTGAGGAAACTGAAAACACACACACACACACACACACACACACGGAACTGAATAAACACAAAAACACAACATATCAAACGTTATGGGATGAAGCTAAAGCAGTGCCCAGAGGAAAATGTGTAGCACTACATGTTTATATTAGAAACAGAGAAAATCTAAGTCATTTCTTCAATCTCCCACCTTAAGAAACTAGAAAAAAAAGAGCAAGATAAAACCAAAATGAGCAGAAGGAAATGATAAGAGCAAAAATCAATAAAATTTAAATCAGAAATAAGAGAAAAAAATCAATAAAACGATAAAGTGCTTTAAAAAGATCAATAAAATTGAGAAACCACTAGTGAGACTGACAAAGGGGAAAAAGAGAAAGACACAAATTACCAATATCAGGAATGGAGCAGAGGACAGCTCTACAGACCCTAAAGACTTCAGAAAGATATAGTAAGGGTATACTGCAGACAGCTCTGTACATAAATTTGACAACTTAAATAAAATGGGCAATTCCTTAAAAAGCACAAACTATTACCACACACCCACTATGAAATAAATCACATGAATACCTTTAAAGAAACTGAATTTGTAAAGGGAAGGGGACATTTCCCAACTCATGTTATGAGGACTATATTGCCCGGGTATCAAAACCAAAAACAGCTCAAAAAAAGAGAAAACTGTAAAGCAGTATCCCTAAGAATATAGATGCCAAAATCCATACCAAAATATTGGCAAATAGAATTCAGTAGTATATAAAAAGAATTCGGGTGGGCACTGTGGCTCATGCCTATAAGCCCAGCACTGGAGACTGAGCAGGTGGATCGTTTGAGCCAGGAGTTCAAGACTAGTCTGAGCAACATGGTAAAGTTCTGTCTGTACAAAAAATACAAAAATTATCTGGTTGTGGTGGCATGTGCTTGTGGTCTCAGAGCAACAGAGCGATATCTTGTCTAGAAAAAAAAGAATTTACGTTGCGACCAAATGGGGTTTATTCTAGGGAGGTAGCCTGGTTCAATATTTGAAAATCAATCCATATAATCCACCATACAACAGGCTAAAGAAGGCAAATCATATGATCATATTAATTGATGCAGAGAAAACATCTAAGGAAATTCAATAGCCATTCATGAAAAAAGTCTAAGAAAACTAGGAATGGAGCGGAACTTCCTCCACTTGATAAAAAACATTTACCCCCACCCCAAATCTGTAATTTATATTATATTGAATGGTGAAAGGCTGAAAGCCTTCTTCCTAAGCTTGGAAACAAGGTAAAGAGGTCCACTCTCCAATCTAAGTTAATGCTGGAAGTTCTAGCCAGAGAAGTAGGGCAAGAAAAGGAAAAGCACACAGATCAGAAACAAGTAAGAAGCCCCCACGGCCCCCCGAGGTTGCTTTGGGAGGCTGAAGCGGGTGGATCACTTGAGGTCAGGAGTTCAACACCAGCCTGGCCGATATGGTGACACCCGGTCTCTACTAAAAATACAAACATTAGCTGCACATGGTGGCACACGCCTGTAATCCCAGCCACTCCGGGGGCTGAGACGGCAGAATCGCTTGAACCGGGAGGCGGAGGTTGCAGTGAGCCGAGATTGTGCTATTGCCCTCCAGCCTGGGCAACAAGAGCAAAACCCTGCCTCAAAAAAAACAAAATAAAACCTAAGACAATTTTGGAAAATAATGCTAAAGCGGGAGGAATCACTCTACCTGATTTTAAAACATTACGTAGGTACAATAATCGAGATTTTGGGATATTGGCGGAGAGACACCTAGACCAGTGGAACAGACCAGACCAGAAAAAGACCACACAGATAGATCCAACCAATATTTTACAACGATGTGCATGTAAGTCAATGGATGCCTTTTCAAACAATTGGTGCTGGAGCAATCAGACGGCTACAGGCCAAAAAAAAAAAATTGACCCTCGCACTAAGCCTCACACTTTATGCAGAATTAACTCAGGATGGATGGAAGACTTAAATACAAAATGTAAAATTATAAAACGTTCAGAAAAAAAAGCAAAGGAGAAAATCGTTAGCATCTAGGGCTAGGCAGAAATCCTTAGACCTAATGCAAAAGCATGATCCAGATAGGAAAAAATGGATAAAACAGACTTCGCCAAAATTTAAAACTTTCACTCTGCCAAACACCCCGCTAAGAGATGAAAAGATACGCTGCAGAGGAGGGAAAATATTTGCAAATTACCTAACGAAGCATCCAACAAACAATTTGTATCTAGATTATATAACGAATTCTCAATACTCAACAGTAATCCACTTAGAAAATCTGCAAAACACCTGAAGACACATTTCATTAAAGATATACAGATGGCAAATAGGCGTATAAGAACATGTTCAACCAGCCATTAGGGAAAAGCCAGTTAAGGCCACAGAGAGACATCACCGCATACCTGTTATAACAGAACGGCTAAAAAAAAAAAGTGGTAACAACAAATGCTGGTGAGGATGCGGAGAAACCAAGTCACTCACACATTGCTGTTAGGAATGGGGTACAACACAGTCACTTTGGAAAACCACCTGGTAGTTTCTTTAAAAAAAAACTAGCCGGGCGCGGTGGCTCAAGCCTGTAATCCCAGCACTTTGGGAGGCCGAGGCGGGTGGATCACGAGGTCAGGAGATCAAAGCCATCTGGGCCAACAAGGTGAAACCTCGTCTCTACTAAAAATACAGAAAAATCAGCTGGG